CCTGCCTCTGCCGCCCCCCCTCTCAGCATTATCATTTTCCTAATCTCCACCTGGGTGCAATTAATAACTCTGGGTCCTTATCCTTCTCCCTTTTTACTTTCAAACATGCATTTCACAACATTCTGAAGCATTCTTTTTCTTAACTATCTCTAGAGCTAAAACCATAGGATCTTCTGAGATTAATCTACATCATTGCCATCATTCTGGATAATTTCAGAGAGTAAAGGATAAATGTACATATGGCACTTCATCCCACTTTCCTTCCCTCCTTAGAAACAGCATCAATTGCAACAAGGTATCATAATCCAGAGTTCCATTAAAAGGCCACTTACAACCATCTAACTGATACAAAGGCCACCATTGATTATAATATTTAATCATCTGACTTTTACGTAAATCATCATGCAATTCACCCCAATGTGCTAACAGACACCCCAATGACAACGTTTTTGGTATCTTTTCATCCAATGTTGGATTCCCAGCACTTTTGCTCTTAAACAGTTTTACAAATCCTGATGCTGTTGTGCAATAAAATATTCAAAAGACAATTATCAACCAACCAACCAAAGTCCAACCCAGCAATAGATTTTGCTTATGACTTACGGTCAGACACCTCTGATTACAATGCAAACGGGTACCCTTTGAGCCCCAGCCATGCACAGCTTTCACCATGCCTTACAGGCAGGCTATCAACCAACCAACCAAATTTTAAAAGAAGTGCCTTACCTTGTTCCAGGGAACGTTGCGAGGAGCTTTATGGATCAAGGGTGATGGTTATCCCTTGGTGATGGTTATCCAGAAGTTTCTGGTGCTGGTCGGAGCTCAATCAACACTTGATCCCTTCCAGTCTCACTCACAAGGTCACATCTAGGTCGCCAAAACTGTTACCGAAATTGGGAATAAACCTCTTAATACCAATGTAGTATTAAGAAGAAATCACTCCTTTATTTCAGTGCTGGGGACATGGGGGATAGCTCCGCATATCGTGTCCACTTTAGCATCAAATTCCAGCAGTTTTTATACACTTCTTCTGTTGAGTCATTGTTACATAAGTTCTTCTACAGAAAAATGCATAATGTGCTCACTCTTAAATTTAACCTTTACAATGATTGGTTTTATTAGTTATATAACCTTGTCAATATTTTTACTCTGAAACAATCATTGGCCAGTTCTACTTAATTCTACTGATTAAGATCCCTGGTATTCAAATCCAGATAGGAAGGGTAAGGAGATTTCCAAGCAACATAACTGGTGTCCATGATGATCTCCTTAGTTATTTAAAACAAAACAGAAAAATCCAGTAACTACCTGGTGAGATTTCTATGGTTGTCTGTTTCAAATATAACAATCCTGTGGTTACCCATTTCAAACTTAACAATCCTAACTTATACATTACGCTTTACAATTTTCTGCTTCTTAATGAAACCTAACTCTTCTGTGTGATCAAATCTTAATTATTTTATCAGAGTATTTGCAACAGTGGCAGGCAGAACTAGGTGAAGAAAAACTCAGAATATACAAGCCCCTCTCAGACAAGCGGTAGGACTGGAGGGGCTGGTTTGGATAAAGGTGCTGTCTTCAGTATCAGGGTTAAAGGCTTGGAAGGAGATGGCAGTGTATTCACTGGATTCTGGAGTAAAAGCTCACACACGCGGGGTTTGTTAAAAAGCAAAATGTTACAGCTTTTATTGCAAGCAGATTAGATACATACCGACCCCACGATGGATATCAAGGCTAGGCTCAGCTTACAGTTCCCCAGTGGTGTCATTCCCAGGTGCTGGAGGATCGGCAGGCACAAGGTATAACAGGCATCCCCGTGGAGGCAGCATGGTCCTTGCTGTTGCATCTGCTGTCCCCCAAGCCCCTGCTGGGACCCACAATTGTTCCGGCACCTGTGGCCAGTATGTGCCGCAGTGATCACTACGCTCTGCCCTTAGAGCTTATCTATTCACCACATACTGTATTGCTGTACAGGGGGGTGTACGTGATTGTGGGCTGTGGTTAACTGGTCATCCTTGTCTTAATGTAATCAATCACATTGTTTCATAATCAGTCCTTGCTAGTTTTTCTTCTGCACTGTGCAAGATGTTCCAGTGTTGTAGTCATGCGCTCCCTGACTCGCTCCCCACCAGGTGCATCCTGCCCTTCAGTGTTTCGTTAAGGATCATAAATTTCTCTAATACTATTACAGGCAGGCACATATAGGGAGGACCCTGAATGGGTAGCAAATGTTATGGAAACTATAATTGGAAATCAAGACCCAGATTGGAAAGATTTGCAAGTTATCTTAAACAACTTAGTGTCTTATGAGGAAAAAAGGATTATGGCTAAGTCTAGAGAGGAGGCAGAACGAGTACATGTTCAAGCTGCACAAGCGGGACCGATGAAGGATCATTTTCCACCCAATAATCCTAATTGGCATCCCAACATCCCAGATCAGAGATTATTATTAACTGAATACCAATGATTAATTTTGTATGGGATCCAGAATTCTATACCAAAGTCAAAGAATTTGTCTAAATTATATCAAGTCATTCAAGGAAAGAATGAGGATTCCTCTTCTTTCCTTCAAAGACTAATAAAGACTGCAAGAAAATATACTGATTTGAACCTAGAAATTGAGGTGAATGCTGTCTCGTTGGTCCATATATTTATGGGACAATTGAGTGCAGATATAAAACAGAAATTACAGAAGGTAGAGGGAACAGATGCCCACTTGTTGGATAAAATGGTGGAAACTGCCTGGAAAGTATATATAACAATAGAGAAAAGGTAGAAGAAGAAAAACAAAGGAAAGAGAAGCTCAGAGATAACAGGTTACTGGCTACAGTCATAGCCCAGGGAACCGGTAAGATTAGTGAGCAGGGATATCAAGGCCCAAGGGGAAGAAGGCTTCCTGACATA